CAAGGGGTTTTACCTCAAATTAGTTGATGGAGCATTGTTTCCCTCTGTTGCTCCCATTTTTGGTTTTTTTTCTTTCTTCCCTATTTCGGCAGGGAACTCTAAGAGAGAGAGAGAGAGAGAGAGAGAGGGAGGGAGTGGTGGCCGGCGGTGAAGGAAGAAAAAGAGAGAGAGTTTACATGGAGAAGAAGGAAGAAAAGGAAAGAAAGAAAGAAAGAAAAGGAGAGAAAGAGAGGGCCGGTCTGGGCAGCCACGTGAAGGAAGGGAAGGGAAAAGGAAAAAAGAAAAGAAAGAAAAGAAAGAATAGAAAAGGAAAAAGAAAGAAAAAAAAGGAAAAATAAAAGAAATAGGGAAAAATAAAAGAAAATATATTAAAATTAAGTGTATTTTTAAAACTTTTGGGGTGAAAATTGAAAAACTGAAAGTAATTTATAAGTCTTTAAAATAACTTAAAAACTTAATCTTTAATCACAAGAGTAATTAGAAAAAATCAATTTTAGGCACACTAATATACACAATTAACATAATTAAACATGTTTAATTCTGGAGGGCATTACAGCTCTACCCCCTTAAGGAATTTCATCCTCAAAATTTGAGCTTACGATAGGATATGAACTGGTATGGATATCGTTCTTGCATCGTTGCTTTCAGTTCTCACGTCGCTTCCTCAATGCCATGGTGTTGCCACAACACCTTCACTAGCGAAATCTCATGACAACGTAAACTCTTCATCTTTCGATCGAGAATTTGAACTAGTACTTCCTCGTAAGTCGTGCCATACTTGATTGGCACGTCGTACAATTGTACAATAGCTTCCGGATCGGGTTTATGCTTACGAAGCATAGAAATCTGGAACACATTGTGCACGTGAGATAACTCAGGAAGTAAGGTGAGGCGATAAGCAACAACACCGACATGTTGCACGATTTGGAATGGTCCAATGTATCTTGGCGCAAGTTTCCCTTTCACGCTAAAACGAGTGATTCCTTTGCATGATGAAACTCTTAATAAGACAGTCGCCTTCTAATAGCATAGCTCTTCATTTAATCACACTTCGATTATCTAATAGGATTCCATCAACTTGGTCAGTCTTCTAATCTCATGCCTGGGCTGATTTAACGTTCGTTACGGAAACACGTGCAAGACATATTATGTGTCACCAAAGGGTGGAAAACTGGTTCCTAATAAAAATTGACATCTAGGTCTTTCTAACGAGTTATCACATATCCTATTCCAAATATTCTAAGCCTTTCAAACACTTCTTACAAGAAGTTGAAATTCTGAAGTTTTAGCTTTTCAATGCATTTTCAAAAGTTTCTAAGCGAAACTTCAACTACGTACATCTCGGCTTTCAAAACTCTAAACAGAGTGATTCTAAGTGCTACACCTCACTAATGATGCACGTTAAACAGTAAGATTAGTGTCTTAAGTGCAGCGATCCTGGTTCTAGAAGTTTGGGTTCAAGTTCACACTTTTTGCATTATGCCAAGAATACAAGTGTCTTAAGGGTATAATTCTAGTTTTTAGATAGAGTAGACACCTAAAGTTTCGAAACGAGTTATCATATGCCAAAATCTGCAATCTCTAAGTACCTCAAAAATAGTTTCTAAGAAATCAAAATTCTATCATTTCCTGGTTTCGATAACTTTTGAGAAGTTTTTGGCATGAAACTTCTAATGCGCACAACTCGGGTAACACAACTCCAAATAATGTGATTCTAACTCCCATACGTCGCTAATAACATATTCTAAATGGTGGTAATGGTGGCCTAGGTGCAACAACCCTATTTCAAAAAGTAAGGGTTTCAGTTCTTTATTTTATCAGTTCTTAGAAAAGACAGCTTTTGCGGTTGTTACGGAAATAATCATAAAATATTCTACATAACCCGAAAATTACAAAGTTAGTGCCTAATCAAAGTAGACATCTAGAGCTTTCCAAAGAGATATCATAAGCTTAGTTTCAGATATTTTAAGGTCTCCATAAATATGTTATACCAGATCAAAACGTGACTATTTTTCTGTAGAATTCCTAAAAATCAAGCGTAACTTCAAAATTGCATAATTTGAGCTACTGTTATCCATTTAGGGTGATTCTTATGGCCATACGAAGATTAGGATGTCTAGTTTTCAATTATATAACCCATTCATTCAAATTCATCTCCAAGGATTCTCAGAATTCAATAGTATCAAACCTATCCAGGTTAGGTTCCTTAACACTTTTTCCAACAAATTGAAAAATTCATAACTTCAGCTACAAAACTCCTTTTTGGGTGATTAAAATCTCCTATCAAAGCTTGATAAGTCTATTTTAAGGTTCTAATATAACTAACATTAAAATTTATTGAGAATAATCAAGTCCTAAGCTTTTCTTTGGGCTGCTCCTAGAATCCTCCCCAAAATCATGTGAATCAAGTGGGGAAAGTATGATTAAAGTCCAAAATAATAACATTCAAGAGAGAAATTCTAAAGAAACTCATACTTAATGCTAAACAACCACAAAGGCTTCAAACTTCCAATCGTTCGATCATAAATCAGTTTCTAACTCGAATCCATATTCTCCATAAATCCAATAAAATGGTAGATTCGTCGACCTTGACGGGAATATACATAAATTATTATTTACATCTCCAAAAATTCCAAAATGAACTCCATAAGAAAGTAGACACGTAGATCCTTGATTTAGTATGTTACACATAAGGTTTGAAAACTGACAAGACCCTCAAAAACATGTTATAGAAAATCAGAACGGCCTGTCTAGAAAAATTCTTATAGTTGCATGAAATCCATCACGTGGACTAAATGACTTCAAGGTTGATTTTAATGCAACACCCACGGTCTGACACTGATTTGAAAAATGTCCAAAGTATTGTTCATACTTATCATTAGAACTATCCATTCTAATTCCACATGAAATTGACAAGACATCTCCTTACGAAGGTCAAACCTATCATCTTCAGCCTGTGGGAACTCAACTTCAACTGCTAAAGAAGTTCTTCCATTTAAAACACCACTTGGAATATGAGTCAAAAGCAAGAATGTCACTCGCATGGCAGAAAAGAGGCGAATATGACAATTCGTCAAGATAGTCGTATGGGAACCTATGAACTAAGACTTTCTACGCCTTTTATGTGGATTCCTACGTGTCAAACGATGGAAAAGAACATCCACCTTGCGACTCTGTTGGTAGCATCATGATATCGGTTGTCACAATCAACCATTCTATCAATGATAAAGAAACGAAGTTCCAATTTCAATAAAATAGGACCACTCACCTCATTTGAGTCTTTGTGAATTTCAGAATCATAGAATGGGACATGGAAACACTTGTCATCTTGAAATCTCATATCCAGTATATTATCAATTCCAGCTAGAAGTCAATCAACAACATAGACTCCCAACCACTGTAATAGAGACACCTAATTCTGGGAATTATCGAACATAAGAATATCAATCATCGACTTAGAATCTAGAAAGTCGAAGAAAATCACATAGTCAAATTTGACTCTAAAAGAAGAACCAATAGGAATTTAATATCGAATAAATATGAGCCTAAATTATTGATTGAATCTCCAAAATCCGGTGACTGAATAGGGATCTTCGAAGTCAAGATTGCTAAGTCTCGCACCAATGATCACCGTACACTAAAAGGAAGTGAACGATATGACATGTTTTCGTATTAGGAACATAATTACCGAGACTACTATTCGAAACAAGAAGCGGTCTTGATCTTAGAATAACATTGATTCATGATAGAAAGATAATATGAATCAAAATACGGTTATCAAGTAGAAAGTCCAACTCCAGTTCAAAACAGATTAAGAATAGAGCTTGAATTTAGAATTCCAAAAGCGAAATGATCACAAATATTAATATCCATAGTCAATGTCTCACAATGACATGGTTCAAGTTAACAAGGGAATCACCGAGACTAACACTCGAGACAAGAAAGAATTTCAATTCCTGAATAACGTAGGATCGTGATGGAGAGATAGCACGATGCGATACACACATAATAACGAAGAGACCAACTCCCGATCACAACAGATTTAGGAAAGAATTCGAAGTTAGAATCCTGGAACCTGTGGGTTATGACCTACCACGCTTCCAAACTAGGTCGAATACAATAAATATAAGAGATAAACGTCAATATCTCGACGAAGTCTATAGCCACCATCGTCATCAATCGAAGAAAGAATGATGTCTCATCAACACAAGAACCCATAAAGTAAACACTCTTGAGCAAAACACTCTCAAGAGATAAAAGAATGCATCAATGAATTGAAACGAGTAGCTAGGATACAAAGCTAGATTGCATGACTAAAATTGCGCATTGATCGAATCGGAAAGAACCAAACAAGGAGGAAGGAAACTTTAATGATCAAAACTGCTCGATTTCAAGTCGTCGCTCTCCATCAACTTAAACCCCCCATGTTAGACATGTCGAAAAGTGGAAGGGACCAATATCGAGAGTTCAACTACACGGAAGTCAGAACGAATATCATCTCAAAACTGAAATCTTCATGAGAATTTTGAAGTCAATACTGATTTTGAATTTGAAACTGACAAGAGTTAAGAGCACTTATGGAAACAAATCAATAACCATTGGGTCGAAATCAATACATCCCGAAAACTTCAATGTCAACTTTAACCTCGATCTTCATATCGATAAACATCGATAATAGAAACATGGATTCCATCCATTAAAGTGCTCTAGGAGAATGAAACGGACTCTAACGTCAAATTCTCAAGTGCAACTATATAACATATTAATTAGTATTGTACGACACGTCCCAATACAAAACTTTTAAAAGAACAACAAAACTCAGTAAAAACTCACACATGCTCGATTTCCCATAGAATTCGAAGCCGTACTCTGATACTAAAAACTGTCACAACCCCAAGGATAGGGCCGCGATTATTGGGGTTTAATTTAAAATTTAATTTAATTAAACTGGACTGTTTAACAAAATCACAAAAATAAAAACATAAATATCAATATAGTTTACTCCGGAGACTTTCTTTCACAAATAATATTTAAAACAGTCCATAAAGTCCAAGGAAAATAGTACAACTCTGAGACATTGTCAACCAATACAGTTTACATACAGAAATACAATACATCTCAGAATTTAAAACTGTAAATCTGAAACAAACGTACTGCTTCGAATCTCACGCCTTCAATCCATTGGCATCCACTTGCCATGCTGTAAATTTAAACCGCTAACTCTGGAGGATGGGTTTAAAACATTGAAAACATAATAAAAGTGAGCAGAATGCCCAATAGGATATAATTTATAAAACTGAATAAATAAATAAGTGAATAAAATGAGAGAGTCAGGCTTGAAATAATCAATCGGAACCAAACAACCTTTTTCTGAAAGGTAAATAAACTGAAATTGCATATTTCAGGCACCAGCAAGTAATTTAAGTAATTTAAGTAATTCATGGGTTTGGCATTCTATTTAATTTCAGCTTAAAAATAACTTTTTAAAGAAATTTCGGCAGCATGCCGACATAAATAGAAAAAATGCCAAACCTGCAATTCAAGTTCAATTTCAAAATAAATTCTCTAGAATCCATCAAAATCAGTTTCCAATCAATTCAATATGTCCAATAACTAATTCAATTATAACAACAATTATTCAATTCAATATGTCCAACAACAGTTATTCAAATCTAACCAAAATCAAACTTTCTCAAGTTTAAAACTCAAATCAAATAGTGGGTTTCAAGGGGTTTTACCTCAAATTAGTTGATGGAGCATTGTTTCCCTTTGTTTCTCCCATTTTTGGTTTTTTTTTCTTTCTTCCCTGTTTCGGCACGGAACTCCGAGAGAGAGAGAGAGAGAGAGAGAGAGAGAGAGAGAGAGAGAGAGAGAGAAACCCATAGAGAGAGCAAGGGAGAGAGAGAGAGAGGTGGCCGGAGAGAGGGAGGGAGTGGTGGCCGGCGGTGAAGGAAGAAAGAGAGAGATAGAGTTTACGTGGAGAAGAAAGAAGAAAAGGAAAGAAAGAAAGGGAGAGAAAGAGAAGGCTGGTCTGGGCAGCCACGAGAAGGAAGGGAAGGGAAAAATAAAAAAGAAAAGAAAGAAAAGAAAGAAAGGAAAAGGAAAAATAAAGAAAAAAAGGAAAAATAAAAGAAATAGGGAAAAATAAAAGAAAATATATTAAAATTAAGTGTATTTTTAAAACTTTTGGGGTGAAAATTGAAAAACTGAAAGTAATTTGTAAGTCGTTAAAATAACTCAAAATTTTAATTTTTAATCACAAAATTAATTAGAAAAAATCAATTTTAGACACACTAATATACACAATTAACATAATTAAACATGCTTAATTTTGGAGGGCGTTACACAAACTCCTCTAGGTCCATCAAATTCGGCCTTTAAAACAGGTATTCCGGCTTCATCTCCATCAAACTCCTCTGGGTCCATCAAATTCGGCCTTTAAAACAGGTATTTCGGCTTTATCTCCGTCAAACTCTTCTGGGTTCATTTTTGGTTTTTGTTTTGATGATTTGATCTATTTTTGTTTTGATGTTTGTGCTTAGACTCCATTATATGCTTTTTTATGCTTATGATTCGTTTAGTGAATGATTTTTTTGCTTCTAGACATAAAATTAGAACAAGATTCTTTCAATGTAGGAAGTTAAAAGTAGATTCTTTCAAGGTTTCTCCTGTACATTACTCTCTTCTTTGGTTCATGGCCTGCTTTGTCATGTTCGAAGGAATATAAATGTGTCCTTTGGTTCATGCCTCACATTTATCATTCAATATAATCTGTTTTATTTTGGACTCTTGAAAACTTAAAGTGGCCAATCTTATAATATTAAGTAACAAGGATTCTTGACTTATAACTTGGAAGAGGAAAGTGAATAATAACTTTAAAAGGCAGTAGAGGATGATTCTTGGTAGCCGTACAAAATAATGGAATACTGTAAATGTGTGGAAGTTACTTTTGTGTGTGTGTGTAACGTGTGTTTATATATATATGTTCGAAGGAATATAAAGGAATATAATTGTTATATATGTTCTTGTCCCTCATAATTTTTTGCTGTGTGTGGTTGTTAATAGGTTTTAATATTGGCAACGGTGGTTCTAATATTGTGTGGTTGTTATATATGTTTTTGTCCCTCATAATTCCTTACTTTGTGTGGTTGTTAATCTTTTTGTGCAAGAGGGTTTTAAATTACCCGCTTGGTGATACAATGGTTAGTGGTATTGAACTAAATTTTCTTTTGTGCATATTAATTTAATTTGGAGTCCCCTCTACGTAATAAATTATTTAAATGTGTAATTATTAATAATGTGTGTTTATTTTCTAATTTGTGAGAGACTCTTGTGTGTTTGTTTTAATTTTAAACTTAGATTATGTAATGTCTCTACAATATGTTAAACAAGTTGAGAAACATGTTTTATCACCCATTTTATAAACAGACTCAAAAATAGGTTCAAATATAGGTTAACACGACCCATTTATCACTTATTTTATAAACATGTTCAAAAATAGGTTAACACGACCCATTTATCACCCATTTTATAAACGGATTGACAGGTAATCAACAGGTTGACACGACACGTTTATGACATGTTTAATAAACGGGTTATTCGTGTCGTGTCGTGTCAATCCGTCAATATACATGTCATGTTTGGGTTTTGTATTTTGACACGATTAATAAACGGGTCGTGTTTGTGTCAACTAAGGGAGTCCCGCCGACACGAATTGCCACCCCTACTAACAGTCACATCTAACGTCTTTATTATAATAAAAAATTCTCATATTAAATCACATCTAAACTCAAATTAAAAACTCAAATCAACAAACTAAATGAGCTACGATCACTCAAGGAATCACATAAACAACTCTTTTCCCCGTGTCTGGATTTTTCTCTCTGCCGTTGACACAATCTCGCCGGAAAATGACGTCGTCATTGATACCGTCGCCATCTCAACCGAGCTTGGGTTAGCAATTCTTTGTCTTTGTCTTTCTTCTTATTTGATTTTACCAAGCCCATTTGATTTTGAAGTTAGTGTTAACCAGTGTTGGACTTTC